GGCACAGCTAAGATACTGCGCAGAACCCTCAAGCTCCCAGGCCTCTGGTAGAGGACCCGAGCTCAGAGGATGAAAGAGACCACCCGCGGAGGGTGAAAAGGGAATTTTTATTTTTTATAAAATGACTGTAAAAGCCCTGCCTTAGCATGTTGGCATAAAGCAGTTGTTGACACTGTTGTGATTTATTTTATAATGGAGGCTTGACAATGTACATTACTGGGAATATTCCGTGACTTACAGCTCTACTGTTTTAATGCTAAAATTAACAATGATGGACATTAGCACAGGAGTTTTTGTGGTGCTGAAGGATACTGAAACCTGCTAGTGCATTCTTTAACGTACTGTAGGAAAATAAAACGCACTGTTCAAAAATGCCATGTCTGAATAAAACAGGAATCCACTGGAATTCTTCTCACCACTTTCTCCTAACCTTCAGTCAGGTACAGCAGAACAGCACAGGCCTCAGCATAAGGCCTTGGGCCGGATCTGAAAACTCAAACAAAACAGCCCAGTCTGTCCAGGCTGGATCTAAGCAGAGACTCTTCTGAACACTTCTGAAAACTTCTCTACTTTTCTAATGATGAATTGACCTTATAACCTCTTCAGTCTCTTCCTGGTTACACCCCTGAAGGTGTTATCTTTTACGTCAGACATCAGAACCTAACCCATTTTTGTTTAGGCTACACATAGAACACATGACAACACACACACCAACTCAATCTCTGTTTTAAACTGTAAGGCTGCAATGATCAGAAAGTATAAAATACAAAACTGCATCTAACATGCAGTTAGTAAGTTACAAAAATTCCTTCAGTACTTCACAAGTTCCAAGTCAGAAAAAATCAATGGACCTCACCTTAAAGTCAAATTTCAACTTGGAAAAGTTTGAGATTCATGATGAAATACACTGCTCAAAAAAATAAAGGGAACACTTAAACAACGCACGCTAAGTCCAAGTAAATCAAACTTTTGTGAAGCACATTCAACTCTGTGTAGAACAAAGTACTCAATGCGAATATTTCATTGATTAAGATCGGGAGTTAGCGTGCGTTATTTAAGTGTTCCCTTTATTTTTTGAGCAGTGTATAAATATACGTTCATTAAATAAACTGGAGCGTTACTGAAGATCTATTACAGGGCTTCAACTGATGGTTTATGGGCCACTTCCAGTCCATGGGTGACTTCAGTCCATCCTGGCAATTAGTTTAAAAAGTAAATAAAGTACACTGTATTTATTGATGTTCGGTCGCTGAGTTGTTGGTTTTCAGTAACTGTGGTCCATTGAGCAAGTGAGCTGAATATTCCCGTCCTATTGTCAAAAAGCATTTGAAAACTTTAACAGCTTTCTGGGTGAAGAGCTTTTTCTCTTTTTTTCTTCTGATTTGTTAAAGTATCAACACATAAAGAAAAATGTGTGAGAGATGCACTGTAATGCTGCCCATTTGTGCACAAACTGCTCACTTTGCATCCAGTGAAGTCGCACATGCGCTCACACATGCGCGCGCACACACACTG